GTAGTCATGGGTTTTGATTATGAGTGTTTATGACTATCAGTAAAGAGAGATTTGGGGATTCTCTTAAGTAGTGACGTTGGCATATTGGCATGGATCAATACTAAAAGTACAACGTTCTAACAGTGAAAAATCAATAAAGAAACGGATTATGGAATCGAATGGGCTTGCCATACTTGTCAGTGGACATGGACATCAAAAAGGACGTGTCTACGAAATACTCGCTGCAACGGAAAAAGAATTTGGAGAAATAAAAAAGATAGTCTCGACTAGAACTTACACATTAATAGTAATGGAGAAAGACCAGGATCAAGGAAAAATATTAGAAATTCTAAAAGAATATGAAGATCTGGAGGTGGAACTCGTCAGGAACATGTATCAATGAAAAAGGTAGGAGAAACCAATACTCCAGAAATAACTAGATTGTAAAACAGGTAATAGTATGTAAAAGAGATGGTTATTAATCTACTAGAAAGGCAAATAAATCAATTGATGTGCTTTAATAATAAAATATTGATTTCCAAAAAATTAGTGAAAATTCATTTCTGCTCCGGAAATATGATGAAAGAAATACCTGAGAAATCAGATCAGGAAGTGACGATATGATAAATATAACTACAACAATAGAGGAAAAAATCACAAAAATTAGAGATAAGAATAGAATCAAAACCAAATTAAGGTATGATAGAAGCTAAAAATAGATAAAACTTTAATCAATCTAAAGAAGGGGATCTCTTCCCAAAGACCTCCAGAGAAATGGGAATAGGAAAAGGGGAATAAACTCGTGAGATAGCAAATCCCTAAAAATGCATGAGATAAACTATGAACACTAGATAAGATATGAATTGGAGGTTCAAAACTAGATAAAAGCCTTATAAATACTCACTCAGGAAAGAAGTACAAAACAGTAACAACAAATCCAGTTACACTCATCAGTCAAAACCAGACAACAGTTCCTTATAAAGTAAATACACAGATATCTACAATAGTAGTTCTTGTAATTTCTAAAGTGATTATCTTCAAGTAGTAATAAGTGCAACAGTATATATAATCTCAGCAATCTCAAACAATTAACAATAGTGAAATCCTTGTTGAATAATGGAAAAACGAATTATGATACCCACAACGCTGATAGAACCAGTTGGAAGCAGCAATGACTTACCAGACACTACACTAAAGACACATTCAAGAAAGTCCAAAAAAGTAAATCCAGTTCAATCGCTTCCAAGACAAATCGATCAACCGGAAATTGAAGAGGTTACAACTGAACAAATACCACCTCAACAAGAACAAGATCAAGATTTACATCACGAGGAGTTGAAACAAATACAGATCCAGTTCTGTCAAACAGTACCAGAGGTCAAGCAAGTTGGAGAATTAAATCAGTTTCTGGAAGAAACTCTTCAATCAAATACAGATGAAGAGATCAGAGACTGGTAGATGGTATGTCAAAGGAGGTAATAAAAGAACATCAAAATACAATCATCCAAATAATCTGGAGGAATCCAGCCAATGGAAGGGAATACAATTCTGAACTAATTCAATACATCAATAAACTATTGGAGGTAATGAAGTGGAGCTTTGGAACACCGGTAGGACAAAACATTAAATCAGCAGATGATTTCATCATTATTGAGGGTGAAAGACAAAAACAAGTTAAAATCCTGGAATTACGGACCAGAGACTCTCCATTGGACATCGAAATCAATGAAAGCGTGCCTGAATCATTCGATCTGCAAAAAGGAAAGGATCCAAGTGCCTGGATCCAGGAAACAGGGAATAGAAAAGAAGTCCAATCTCCAGAACATTTGGTGTTAGAGTCAAAAGAGGCTAATGAATGGACAGAATTGGAAGGAGAAAAAAAGATCAATGAGGCTGACTTGCAGAAGGTAGCAAACTTCATCAAGACAGTATGCAAAAGCAACAGAACCTCTAAGATTCAAGAGGAGATCTTTAAATATAAAGATGAGATGATAAAAGAAATAAAGAGAATAATATCGGAAGTACTATATCCAAGTTCGATAAATTCTAGTCTGGTTCGAGAACCAAAACTTATGAAAGATATTGCCAAGTTGGTAAAAGTTGCAAAATGGACCTTTGAAAAAGAACCTCTCAAGAGAAAAGGAAAGAAGAACCTGAAAAAACAGGATGATACTTCAGAAAGAAAGAGTCAAGAAGAGACTGATGATATTCCGACCTTTGAGTTCTCAGCAGATAACTTAATTACTCCAAACCTCAATCAGATTCAAGTGAATAATGGTGAACAGGAGAAGGAAGAAATGGAGGTAGTAAATCATCAGATCGCAAAAAGAAAAAATGAAATGGAGGGAAAAGATCAGTCAACGATGAACTCCAACGAATTCAAGAAAAGAAAATCCGGGGAAATAATCATAAGAGAAGAAAGAGGTGATAAAAAAGAAAGATTTTGTATTGAAGTAGCAAGGTACTCAAGAAGAAATGATGGAATTGTTAGCAGCCACATTAAATCTTGGAACTACGAATCACCGAAAGGGTTTGGTATCTTCATCAAAGGACGTGGTTATCAGAAAGGATGTGTGGAAAAAATATTGGACGAGACAGAAGAGGAATTTGGTGCCATCAAAAATATATTCTCAGACAGGGCTTATACATTGGTGGTAATGAAAAATGAACAGGATAGAGAGAAAATGATAGACATCCTCAAGGAGCATAAGGATCTAGAAGTGGAATCTGCCAAGTACAGATTTCCACAAATAAAGTTCTCCGTACATGAAAGTATGCTAACTGAAGGGACGGAGAAACTAGTTGAGGAAATAAAAAAATGGAATGGATTGAAAAAATTTAAAAAGGAAAAAATGGTACTCTCGTCAATACATCCTATCAATAATACAAGATTTGTAATACTGGTATTGGAAGTTCATCCACACATCAGAAATCATATAATTGAAACTCTTGATGGAGAAATAAGAATACGAAATAAAAGTTTCACACTCAGTGATCACTTTGAGATCCGGAAATGTAGGAAATGTGGATCCATAAAACATGGATGGTGCGGCAGCGAAAAGCACTGCATGAACTGTTCAAGAGTTCACAACAAGGATATGAATTGCACATACCCAAAGAAATGCTTAACCTGCAAAGGGGGACACACAACCTTTACATTAGATTGCCCTCCCTTTAAGAGGGAAATCGAGAACAAAATGGATTTTGTGATACTACCTATCACACAATTATGATTGACAGGGAACTTTTGAAAATCACCTCCCAGACATAATTTACAAATTTCTCTCATAGATCTCTCATAATTTACAAGAAGGGAAAGTAACTCTATTTTTTTCCCTACCACAAATCCCATGGTTCAAGAAAAGAAAAACTTTCAGAGCACAACACCTTTTGACTTAATAACCTCAGTATTCCCACGTTTATGTAAACCTCGTTTCTTTTTCCAAAAATGGAAATAATTGATGAAATAATAAATAAAGTTGTTAAAGAAGATTTAGCAAATGATTCATTTATTGATTTAGTGAAAAATGATAAGAAATCAACTATGGAACTCTTTAACAAGATAGACAAGTGTGAAAATCCGGGAATGATGGTTACAATCAGAGGAGTAACTTCAAATAACCTGAAAGGTATGCTCCTCATATATGCCCTGATGGGTCAAAAAAAGGAAATAAATCTACACAAAATGGACCTGATAACAAAGGCTCTGAATATCCTGGAAACCAACGTACGGACGGCACTAACAGTGAAAAATGAAAGACTCATGGTACAAGGAATCATAAGTGAGAGTGTCATCATAGGAATTATTATATATGAGAACTCATGGACAATTCCAGAAGTCATCCAACGAAACATACAAGCCAAGTGGATAAATATCTCTACAAAATGGAAGACATTGTTAAGACTCAAACCTCTAGACAGCCAAAGTGAAATCAGAGAAATCCTAAGCAAAAGAAGCTGGAAAACTCTTATGGTAATAATGGACTACCATTTAGCTCAACAAGCAAATCATAATAATCTGGAAATACAGCAACAACTGGAAAAGTATCTTGGTGGCTTTGGGGAAAACAATTATTGGCTGTACACGAAAATAAATCAGAACAATGAATGTAAAAACTATGTATTTCTTAAGAAAGAGATATATTTAAATCCATTCAAGGAAGGGATAAAAATAGAGGGACAAACATTACACTTTGACATAGTGGCGAAATATACCATTTGTAAAAAATGCGGTAAACCCAAGACCTGTAATCACCCTCCAAAACAATGTGATGTACCATCAATGGACAACTAAAGATTCAATGGAAATCTGGGAAAAATTAAATAGACAAGGTAATATGGCTAATAATGGGTAAAACAATGTACTAAAATAAAATTGACAATAATTTAACCAATATATAATTAAGATTTAATAAAAAATTATTATTGACAAACAATAAAGGAATCTGAGGAGACAAAGGTAATAATAGGTATTATCAGAACATCGGTAGATATATGAGATTACATAAGGAAATATGAAAATAATGGAAGGATAGCATACAGATGTAGCATATACATGATAATAATCAAAAATAGATAAACTAGATTTCAGGAGTAATATCCTTGGAGAAAAATTTAATGGAGTGTTGAAGATGTTTTTTATCATGAAGAAAGGTTACTCGGGACTTGATACATAATCTAAGGGTCGTATTGAGGATATCCTCCAGGTCCAGGGTCAGGCTAGATTCAGTTATACTGGAGATATCATTGATGGATTTGGATAGTAATTCCAGGGCAACGGCTGTAAATGCTTGTACCTCAGCTTGACCAGAGGAATCAGAAATCTTCAAAGTAATGACTATCTGATCAGATAGATTAGGAAGGGTGTCAAGACAATTCTCGCAGACAGGAATGTCACGTTGATAGATCTTGACTCGACGACCACAGACAGTATGAGCCTTGTACTTGAAGACATCACCAGAGATAACAAGGACTTCCAAATTGGTATAAACAATGACATCGTCCTGAAGTGACTGGGGCAAAGAACTAATGTGAGAAATCTCACCAAAAAATCCCCTAGATAGAGAGGAAAAGGAAACGGAAGAATTGAGTTTTTTATACCAATCCATTAGAGCGGTAGCCTCAGGAATGCTAGGACTCAAGCAGATAGTGGAACTAGGTCCAGAAATAGTAAGAATAAGGCCACATTGCTGTTGAGTAAGTCTGGCTCGTCTTACAACGAGTATGGATCCAAGTGGGGGATTAAAATCTTCAGGAGCCAAATTCCAGATAGACAGACGGATCTCTGAGAATGAATCATCTTGGATTAAAATCGAACGCCGAGTTCTCTGATGAATCAGGGTAACAAAAACGCAAACTCCAATGACATCCACAATGGAATTAGGAGGTAAATTGGCCAAATTGGATATCTTAGTAAAATTAGAAGGGACATTGGGATATTCAGCATCGTTGAAATCTGATTCCTCCTTTACAGTACTAAAATATTTTAGGGTTATCTCACGAAGATGATTTGTGAAATTGAAAGGTGGCTTAGCGGCTACCAGCTCCCCATTAGAAATGGAATAAACGCTACCAAGCTTAATAATGTTGAAAAACCGATTGCATTCCTCCTGAAAAGCGTTTATCTTGATGGTGCCTGAGAGATCTGAAAGTTCAAAGAAAAACCAATGTCCTTTTGTTTGCTTGAGGTCTCCTAAAGCCCCTTTATAAGTAACACGTCCTTGGATGGTCCATTGGGATTGACAGGACAAACTGAAAATAGGCAAAGATTTATTGGGGATAGCCTGATTCCTCTTGGAAAGGAGGGAAGAAGCCTGAACAAAATGAGTAGAGTAGGTCACAGGAGGAAGAGAAATCCTTGAAGAAGTTGCACATCCCGAGGTACCTTGACTCAAGTCAAGGGTTCCTACCAATGGAGATCCTGTAATAGCTGGAAGCTCAGGCGATTGAGGAACAACAGGACTTCTCTCTGGAGGGAACTGTTCCTCAAAAGAAGAATCATTTAATTCAACGCCCGATCCCAAATCAACAGAACTCTCATTAAGGGACAAATCCATCAAATCATCTGATCTATGAGAGAAATCCAACAACAGGGGAGTAACTAAGGGTAGATGGGAACCCTGGACTAACTCATTCTCAAGAGCATCAGGAATCAACTTATAACCAAAGACTTTAATAATAAACTTGTCAAAGCCAGGAGAAAAATGGAAAGAATAGTCATCCAGAATGACAACTGAGTTCTCTTGAAGACGCACATCAGGAACAACTGGTAATATACATGGGGTATAAAACTGAATACCATCAGAGAGACAACAAGTTACCACCTGAGATTGAGAATTACCAAGATCAATAGAAGAAAGATTGGACAACTGTAAGCACGGAGAAAGGACATATCTTCCAGATATTATTAGTTGAATAGCACCAGGCGTCAATCCCATGATAACCTAAGTACTAATAAAGTAAACTAGTAGAGTGAATTAAAACTCGAAACTTATCCAAGAATAATAATAAAAATATAAAAGACTTACATGAAAAATGGATGAACAAAAAACAGAAATGAAAAAATTGGAAGTATGGATGTTGTAAACAGGCTGGAACCATGAGAACTAAAGATATGTTGGGAACTGTTAGTAACAATTACTAAATGGCTTTAAGCTAGATAAAAATGACTAAATTAAGAGTTAAAAAACTCGAAATTAAAGAGTTTTTTAACCAAAACTCAAAAAGCCATTTTTGAGGGATGGCTTGATCTGATAGTCAAGAGACAAATGGAGATCTGCGATTAATTGAAAACTTTTTTCGATAATCGAAAGAAATTATAACCTCGATTGAGGATATGATATTGTAATAATTTCCAATAATGATGTCCAAAACTGGCCTGAAAGACAAATTGAATAGGGTTAGCTCTGTTATTATACATAAAAAGGAAATATGTAAAGTGAGAGGAATTCCAGGTTACCTCAAATGGATATAAAACAAGGAAAACATAAAAGGAAATCTCAGGAAAAATTAAAGTAACAAAATAAGGAAATCCAAGGAAAAAAGATGAAATACAAATACCTACATGTAATTTAACCTTACCGCCATACAATCAAAATAAGATTACCTAAGCAATACCTAAAACAAAACAAAAGGTAACAATTACAGCCATATATCTCAAATTGTCTTAGTGTAAAATCAAAATGCTCTTTAGCACAGTAAATGCGAATAAAATTAGTACCATTACAAAAAGAGTGATAAACCAAACGGAATATCAAGAGGAAACATGCTTATGCATCTGTGAAATAAATCACAAAGCAGTGAACGAGATAAATACCACATCGACTATTATACAAAATAGTAGGATGGCTCTGGTAATCTCAAAAGATATCAGCTACGAAAGGATCACAATAGACTTGGAATGCCTTATTGCGGTTCATCTTAAAGATGTAAATATAATAGTGATTTCCTGTTATATGAGGAATTTCGATCAGAAACAGGTAAAACTGGCATATAACCAACTGGAAATAATGGAGAGATTAATCAAAAGGTTCTCAGGAAGAAACATTATTATAATGGGGGATCTTAATATACATAATGAACTCTGGTCGGCACCGGGACAACAGCAAAATTACTATCCAACGGTGATTGGAAATACAACAAGAAAGATGATTGAGAGAAATAACCTGAAGGTAGCAAATGATGGGAGGATAGCAACCTACAACAAAGGAAATCGAGTTCTTGATCTGATTATAACCAGTAAAAACTTGAATATTAAATGGGTCAGAATCGTTACATTGGCATTAACAGATCATAAAGCTGTAGTTATTAAAATTATACTAAAGAAAAGGAATATGGATATGCAAAGAATTCTAAAGATAGGTTCATGGAAACTTAATTGGAAGTTCAACACCAAACAAGAGATGGAAAAAAGATGGAGGAAAAACAGCCCAATTATCAGGATGTGTAAGGAGATAATAAACTTTCCCAACAATCATGGCAAATGGATGAGGATTTCAAAAACAATGAAACTACTAAAATTATCGAAAAGTACGAACTTGAAATTGAAAGAGGCCAAAACATCTAAGCAGATTTGGAAATACATAAAAGAATACCTTGGATCAGCTAGAACCAAACTAAATGAGAGTATGATTAGATCGAGGGACATACAAATCAGAGACTTCAAGACTACTAAACCGGTATACAAGGATATTCCAAGTAATATAAAAGGAGTAATGACGGAAAAAGAGATCTCTACAGTACTGAACTTTAAAAGCAGGACATCCAGTCTGGATGCAGATGAGTTTACCAAGACCAAATGGGAAAGATTCATGACCGTTAATAAAAAAGAAATACTTTTAACTATCAGAACAATCATAGAATATTCACACATTCCGGAATACGTCTCAACATTAGGGATTGGATTTGTTCCCAAAGCAGATAATCAGAACGCCAGAATGATAAAAGGGGCTAATTACTTGATGAAAATCTTGGATAAAATATTAGCGGAGAGACTATTGGACAAGATAGACTATATGGTGGACAACCAGATACAATATGCATACATGGAGGATATAAATCGACAACAAATGATCCGAGATGTAATTGAAAAAATTAGAACAATGAAAAAGGAGGACTATCTAATAAAACTAGACATCTCGAAGGCATTTGACAAAGTAGACACCAATATTGCGATGGAAAAAATAAAAATCCATTGTGGTGAATCAACATTTGGTCTACTCAGTTCCATAGCTTATAGCAGATGGCTAAAAATTAACATAAACAAAGAATCAAGATATAAAAAAGAAACGGAAGGAACTCCTCAAGGCTCATCCATAGGTCCAATAATGTTCATTATCTCCATAGATGAAGTACTCAAAGAAATAAAAGAAAAGGTCATCATGGTTAAGGCATATGCGGATGATATCATTTTGATTACAAATGATAAAGAAGAGACCATGAGAGAAATAAGCAGGGCAATGAGAAAAGTAAACCTGGAAATAAATGAAAAGAAAACAGAAATATTTAAATTAAGGGATATTAAAGAAGGAAAACTAGAAATTCTTGGGGAGCCAGTACATGGAATTACATGCACGGGAATAAGGACATACAAGGAGGGGATGATCAAATTAAAAAGAGAAATGGTGGAGAAATGGAGTATAAAACCCGATATCAAGTACTTACCAGTGAAAGCAAGGAGACTGATTATCTC